AAGTGTTTTAACACAATAGATTGAGAAAGCGCCAATAACTGATTATAGCAGGATCATGGTGCTTCTAATATCCCTATGTAAATTTTATTACAGAATTATATTACGAATTCTAGTTTTATAATAATTTGAATTTTGTTACAGTAATATCACAAGTTATTATTTCAATTACTTTTGTCAACTATTCTATGATACGGATAATACTTATATCAACGAGTCAAGCATATCAATCTATAACAATCACACAAAATTATTTTGTAATTAATATACCCCGAAAAAAACTATTGTATCAAATTAAACCAACAGAATCCAAGTTGTATTAACGTATACATGATTTTAAAAAAATTTAATTTAATAAATTAAAAATATAATATTACCAAAAAGAAGTGAAATCAAAATATTATTTTAAGTATATTTATTGTAATTGAATTTTAAAAACTAAAAAAAAAATATACCTCGAAAAACAATATTTTATCAAATTAAACAAACAAAATCCATGTTGTATTATTTTCAATGTATACGTAAAAATAAAAAAAAGAAATGCAATAGATAGCGTAATGAGGGCTGCAGAAATTAAAAAGGGATTTCGATAACAAGTAGCAAATTACGTGACAGAAAAATCAAAGATGGGAAGAAATCTCCAGCAGCAGCATACTTGACGCGCCCGTTTTTTATATATAAACTCATGGAAATATAATACAAACAATTCATGCTAACAATACATTATTTATTAATATTAAATATTTTATGTAAATTAAACAGATTAAATATATATATATATTCACTAATAACTTTAAAATAATATGTATCAACGAATAATTTTATGGTTCTTATAATGGTTCTTATAATATCTCTATGTAAATTTTATTACAGAATTATATTACGAATTCTAGTTTTACAATAATTTGAATTTTGTTACAGTAATATCACAAGTTATTATTTAACATAATATTATTGTCCTTAGTAGTGCATAAGTAAATGAATTCGGACTCGTTAATTTAATAAATAATCTCATCATTTGGCGAGCGTACGATCTTTTCGGTTGAACGTCTGATATAATTCTGTTCTGTTTTCGCGAGTCTTTTTTTAATCAAATTATTAATTTTCGTTGCTAAGTCGTATTAATACAACGATCATATAATTGAATATTGCGCGTTATTATTACACATTCAACCGGTGTTCTTAACGGAAAGA